CGCTTCGTCCACGATCAGGTGGATACATAATCCCGGCAAAATTTATAAAGTTATAACTGATAATTGTAATTCACAATGTTGTAGAAATTCTGTTGTCTGAGCTAATCTCTCATAGAGCATAATGATCATATCATTAATATATTCTAGATCATTTATACTATTTCATTGTTGGCAAAATTCCAGCTCGCATTCATTTAGCATTCTTCGTACTCTCATATAATGATTTAACCGATTGCTCTCATAATAATAATATGCTTTTAACAAATTATATTCGGTTATAATATTATTATAGGTATGATGAAGTGTAGTTCGAGGTGTAACGTATCGATAATTATTCCACTCCATCCTGCAAATATTCACGTGATAAAAAATCAGGAAGGTGATTATCTTTTCCTTTTTTGTATACAATATCAAAATCAAAAGGGGCTAAATTAACTTGCCATCTAGAAAACATTTGCTTAGAAACATCATGTTTAAAATCCTTATTGAACATATATTTTGCTGATTGACAATCTGTCTTAATCGTAAACTTCTGATTATATAAATCATCTTGAAATTTTAAAATACATTTAACTATCGCAAGGATTTCCTTAGCAACTGTAGCATAATTCTTTTGTCTTTGGGTACATTTTCCTGATTAATATCTTACTAATTGTTCTTTTTCATCATCCGGACATACTTGTTTGAGTATTCCATCATATCCTATATCCAAAGCATCAGTTTCTACTATCTTTTCCCACTTGAGATTTGCCAAAACTAGACATGGTAGTATTTTTACTTTACTTTTTATCTTTTCAACAGCCTTAGTATGCTCCTCTGTCCAAGGCTTTGGATTCTTTTTTAATCTATCATATAAAATAGCAGTATCATATGCTAAATTTTTATAATAAGGTAGAATATAATTCAAACTTCCTAAAAATCTTTGCAATTGAGTTTTCTCTAAAATTTCATTTGGGAATTTAAAAGCGAACTCAATACTTCTATCAATAGGAATTATTTTTCCTTTCTCAATATTATGCCCTAAAAATCTAACATTTGTTTGAAACAAGGATATTTTTTATTGAGATATAACAAATCCATTCTATTTTATTAATTTCTGAAATATATTTAAATGATCAAAATGTCATTGTATATTCTTAGAAAATATTAATATATCATCAATATATACAATAATAAATTCACTATAAGGAATAAAAATATTATTCCTGATTTTTTGAAATTCAGAAGGTGTATTTTTAATCCAAATGGCATCACTTTCCATTCAAAATGACCAACTGGAACATTAAAAGCAGTTTTATATTGATCTGACTCATTAATTTAAATTTGCCAACATCCAGATTTTAAATCAAACTTAGAAAATATTAATGCATCATATAATCTATCCAATAAATCTTTTTTATTTGGGATTGGGTGTCTAATCCATTTTAGTACTTTATTAAGAGGTTTATAATTTATTACTAACTTGGATTTTCCTTTTTCTATTTCACTATATTTGTTGACATAAAAACCAGTACATGACCATGGAGAATTTGACTTTTTAATCAATCCTTTTTCTAATAACATATACATCTCTTTTTTACATAACTCCAAATATTCAGAATTCATTAGGCAAGGTCTTGCCTTTGTCTTAATCATTGTTTTTTCATCAAAATCATCTTCATATGGAAGACTAATTACATGCTTTTTCCTATCCCAAAAAGCATTAGGATGTTCATTACAAATCTCAGTTGAGATATTATTATATATCCTCTTAATCTTTTCCTGTAATTTAGGATTTTTTAAATCTTCTTCAATTGAAAATATATTAATTTCGAATTTTAAGAAATTAATCTGATTATTTTTTCTAAAAATAAGATCTTTAATTTAATTAATGAATCTCGTATTAGGTTCAGTTATAAACTTAAAAGATACAAGTTTTTTATCATATGTTCCTATGATACTATCAATATCAATATGAGTGATAGGGAAAATCCTCTTTATAAAAGGAGTTCCAAGTATAAGTTGGCTAGTTATATTTTTAGCTATTAAAAAACTTTGAGGAATACAAACTTGATTATTACAAATATATCCTTTAGACAATTTATAATTTATGTCTAATGCTTTCCCACCAGCATGTCTTACTACATGAGTAGTTTTTTCAAAATATTTAGTAGGAATTGTTCCTTCTTGTATGACACTAACATCAGCACCACTATCAATTAATGCTACCAGTTCTATTTGATAATTATGATCTATTAATAATTTAATAATAACATGAAATTTAAAAGAAGTGATTAAATCTAAAGATCCTAGGAAATTTTCATTTCCTGTTTCATTTATTAATATGTTCCTATAAGAATATGCGTGGTTTTTATTCTCTAAATTAGAGACTCTGTCATCTAAGCTTTTATTAAGTCTTTTTAAAGTTTTTACTTCTTCCTTGAGATTCATAATCTCTTCTTCTAAGTCACTTACCGATGTGGGAGCTTTTTCTATCCTATTAGATTTCTCTTTGAGCATTTTATATACTTTATCCATTGTATATGGATTATTATCTATCTCTAATGATTCATCATTACTACTTCTTGGAATATCTCTAACTTGTTCAATTATTTTTTATCTTAACTCTTGATCTTTTATTGATCTCAAGAATTCCAGTATATTATTACTAGTTAAAACACTAATATCTGATTCTCTAAATTGAGATATAATTTTATAAAATTCTTCATTTTCATCATTAATTTCTTTTATACAACTATTAGTTCCCTTACAAGGATCACAACACTCAATTTCATCTTCTGAACTTTCTGATGTATAACTTAACTGATCTATTTCAGCCTCATCTGAGCTTTCTGATTCAGATTCTGAATTTAACAAATTAATTAATTCATTTTTAATTTCCTGGCTAATATCTAAACTATTTATTCTTCTCTTCATTTTGCATCTATTTGCAAAATGTCCTGGCTATTTACATTTATAACAAATTATATTCGCTCTATCTTTCTTATTCTCAAGTCTTTTCGTTTTCCTTATTGCTCTTTTATTTAATTTTTCTTGAGAATATTTTTTCTTCTTTTTCTTATAATACTTATCATCTTTTTTGAAATTTTTTATTATTCTTTTTTCTGATGGAATTTCCATACCAAATTGACTACAAAATTGACCTAACTGTTTTCTTTCAGTCAATCTTTGTCTTTTAATTTGTTGATTTAATTTTATTTCATTACACAAGGCTAAACCTTCCTGAATGCAAGTTCCTATCAATTTTTCATAAGTATAATCTTCATTAGGAATATTTATTCTATCTTTTCTTAAGATTCTCCTAACTCTTTCGGCAAATAAACTTGGTAATCCATCTATAAATTTAGATCCTTATTTGTGATTTCTGAGTAGACTTGTTTTTCTAAATTCAGAAAAACAAGAGTAGGTTGTCCCTCTCCTTAGTTGTGGTATCAAAGCCATGAGTAGATTTGTAATGATTCTTATCCCAACAGCCACTTTTGATATTCCAATGAATTTAATTCAGAAAAACAAGAAAACTGTTAAAAATAGTCTAAAACAAGAGCATGATATTCCTGAAAATTTATTTCGGCTATATTTGCATTTTGAAGTAATATATTCTCTTACTTTGTTCTAATCCTACTGATGTGTAATGTCACCGGAAAAAAAAATCTATTGAAATAATTCCACACATTTTGCATTGCATGGACAGTGAAACTTTTGATTTTTTAATTTATTAGTATTCAATTAATTTAGTACTATATTTTTTTTTACTTAAGCTTATAGAAGTAATTCAAGAGAAACTTCAGTCTAAATGAATTTTAAGATTAAAAATGACTAAACGATTACAAAGAAACAAAGAAATAAATTTTATAAATATGTTGTGTAAATTTATTTTAAGTAAGCTAAATGATGTGTGCCTAAACACTCATCATTACTAAGAGGAGTTACTTTATTAATGGTTACTTGTCAATGATTAAAAATTCTTCTTCTTCTTTTTTTTTAACCAAAAGGGCAAAAAAAAAAAGAAAAAGGAAAGGAAGAAAAAATGGCCCTGGTGAGGAAACAACGACGACGAAGAAACAATGTGTACAGCAACTCATACTTTATAGATAAAGAATGGATATATATATATATATATGTATATATATATATATATATATGTATGTGTGTGTATGTATATACTAGAGTTCCGTTTCTCATTTTTACGGAATCGTTCCGTTTTTCTTTTCCAGCCAATCAGAATTGAGTGTACAAGATACAGTCATAGGATGAGTCACATGCTAATATATCTCAAAATAGTTTTTAATAAATAAATTTTAAAAAAATTAAGTAAGAACTGGTTTTTACCTGATAAAAATATTTAAAAATTACTTGTTAAAATTGACACATCAAAACCATTTGACTAAATTTTCGGAAAAATTGTCTACCACATTTAATTAAAACTTTTATTTATCAAGCAAATGAGCTTTAGGGTGAATGTCACGCCAACTGGACCCCCACTCGATTTAATTCCTTATCCTCAAAAGATCATAATTAGGTCCATGAACTTTAAATTTAGACTATAAAGAGTCCCCAACCTCGTTTCCATTCATTAATTGGACAGTTCTGTCAAAACTCACAGTATGACCAAGGGTAGTGATTTGAACTAAAGGTATTTGTTTTGACAACCATGCAACTACAGGACTAAAATAACATTGGGGAATATGTAAAGAACTAAATCGCAGTTGAGGACTTAAACTGAATTTTCTTCAATCAACGACCAAATCAAACAAGGACACCATGTTTAACAACTAGTGGGATCATTTCATAACCAAGAATGACATAATATGTTTGCTCACTTCAAGGGATATGCAATCAAGAGAGGAAGAGAGATGACATACGAAATAAAGTTTGTTATAAAAAAAAAAAAAAGAAGTTACTATGGAGATCATAGCCTATTAAGTCAGACCACCAAAGACGAATAGTATGTTCCTATAGTCATCAGGTTAATCTGGTAAACACTTTCTACATGATAATAATCAAATAAAATGAAAGAGAAGGTCCACTATCACATCTAAAGTCTTAAATGAGCTTGGTAAAAGTTGTTTCTCTTCTGTATGCCCCGTGTCTGGTTCATTGTCGCTTTTACGGTATGAAGTAACATCCAATGGCCAAACACTAACCCGACCCCGATCTTGTGATGTCATTACATCCTTGACAACCGACCTCTTAACTAGAGGATCCAAAAGGCTTAAACCAGCATCAGATCCAGCATCTTTGAAGGGAGGCGATTCTCGGAGTTTTTTGTTTCCCAAAGAACTGTCGCTACCTTCATCTAGTACACGTTTTTCACCACGATCCATGATTATGGTGTCATTGATCTTTCCAAAATCTGGTAGTTCATCATCTCTCACAGAACTTCCATCTAGTTCAGAATCATGTTCAGCAGTTAGCATGTTCTTGTAGGAAATTTAGCCAAACGAGAAAGGCTTAGTAAATCTCAACAATTGTAATTTCAGGATCAATTAGGTAGAAAAATCAAGCACAGAGTTACGAAATCTTAGGGTTTCAGAGCGGAAGCAATTGGGAATTATTTCTGTATTGATTATGTCTGTATAACCGTATAACTGCCGTATGGACAACTTAAATACGCGAATCTAAGTTAACCGACTTACTAATACCATATTTACACCGATACCCTTCTATTTACAGACATTTACAAACTAACCCCACATAATGTACAATCACATCTATACAAAACTATACAAGACGACTGGAACTAATCTGGTCCTAATTCCAGTTACTGTGGTTGATCATGGAGACTTACATCCCATCCCCCAACAAGATGGACCAGGAAAGGATCCTTTCAGGCCAAGCTTGGACATCAAATGAACCATATGTAGATGAGCCAATGATTTGGTGAAGATGTCGGCCACTTGGTGAAGAGTGTTGATGTGAAGTGGCACCAAAAATCCAAGGCGATATTGATCTCTGACAAAGGGGCAATCGACTACCAGATGTTTAGTGCGCTCGTAGAACACGGGATTCTCGGTGATATGAATGGCAGACTCGTTGTCACACCACAGAGGAATAGGCAAGGAGAGAGGAATGTGAAGATCAGTCAGTAAGTATGAAATCCACATTAATTCTCTTGCTATGTAGCTCATGCTGCGATATTCAGCCTCTGAGGAGGAGCAAGAAACAGTAGGCTGTTGTTTGGCCTTCCAAGAGATGAGGGAAGAACCAAGAAACACGCAAAAACCAGTGACTAATCTACGATCATTGGCATAATTAGCATCACTATAAGCTACTAACCTTAGATCATTGTCACTTGGGTAGAAAACTCCATGAGATATTGTCCCCTTGAGATACTTGAGTACATGGATCAACCCATCCAGTGAGCAGTGCATGGCTTTTGGACAAATCTACTCAACTACTCAACTGAGAATGTAATATTTGGCCGGGTGAATCCAAGATACAAAAGTTGTCCAACAAGTTTTATATATTGAGATGCATTCTCTATTTCAGGACTAGGTTGATCTGAGAATTGATATCCCTTTTGCAGTGCTGTAGTGGTGGGTTTACAGCCTAGTAAACCTGTATCCTTCATTATATCAATGATGTACTTTCTCGGATTGAGATGCATTCCAGCAGGAGATATAGCAAGCTCAATCCCAAGGAAATACTTGGCATAGCCAGGGTTTTTTATGGTGAACTGATCATGTAGATATTGCTTCACTTGAATGATATCTTGTTCTGATGAACCTGTAATCAAGATATCATCCACATATACTATAAGAATCAAATAACTGGTAGCCTGAATCTTGGTAAACAAGCATGGATCATTCACAGATTGGACAAAACCATAAGCTCTAATCTTGGCGGTGAATTCCTCATTACATTGTCTAGAAGCCTGTTTAAGGCTGTACAGGGATTTCCGTATCTTGCACACCTGATTTGGTCCTGCTTTATCATAGCCATCAGGTGGTTTCATGAACACTTCTTCATCCAATCATCCGTGTTTAAAAGCATTGTTAATGTCAAGTTGGTGCAATGACCAATCCTTGGCTGCTGCAAGTGCCAAGACTAAACGAACAGTTACCACCTTTGCCAGAGGAAAGTAACTATCAAAAAAGTCTTCTCCCTCAATCTGGTTGTAGCCTTTTGCGACTAACCTTGCCTTATACCTATCCAAAGAGCCATCTGAATGAATTTTAACCTTGTAGACCCACTTACTACCTATAGCTCTCTTCCCAGGAGGTAGTTCAGTGAGTTCCCAAGTATGATTAGCCTATAATGCATCAATTTCAGCTTGCATAGCATGCACCCAAGTAGGCTGAGTCTTGGCTTGAGAATAACAAGTAGGTTCTTGAATATTGTCAATAGTAGAAAGAAAAACGACATGAGGAGCTGTGTAGAAAGGTGGTGTATAGAAAGGATAAGCAAGAGGTGTATGAGGAGATGAGGCAGGGACTAATGGAGACATAGAACTGGATAAAGCAGTTTTTATAATATCATTATGAAAATCTTTCAACCATTCTGGTTGTTTCCTTGGTCTATCACTTCTTCTAGGTTGTTGTATTAGACGTGATAAATGAGGTGAGGGAGGAGAAATTGGTTCAGGATTTGATATGGTAGGAGTTGGTGGATCTGTGGTTTTCGGATTATCAAGGAAATCATCAGTAGAGGTAAAAGGAATAGGCTAAGTATCATCATGAAACTGTGTAGGAATAGAAGGTTGAGGTATAGAAGGCTGCAGATTAGTATCTGTAGAAAGTTCCTTAAAAGGAAAAACTGTTTCATGAAATATAACATCCCTTGATATAAAAATCTTCCTGTTGAGCAAATCATACAACTTGTATGCCTTTTGGCCAGGAGGATACCCCAAGAATATGGATTTAATGGCTCAAGGACTGAACTTATCCTTATGTGGATTTACATTGGTAGCATAACACAGACTACCAAATACTTTGAGATTTTTAAGATCAGGTGTCTTATTATGGAACACCTCAAAAGGACTCTTATTCTGCAAGACAGGAGTAGGAATTCGATTGATAATATAGGTAGCTGTTAGAATAGATTCACCTCAAAACTGTTGAGAAAGTCCAGATTGGAAAATGAGTGATCTAGCAACCTGTAAGAGGTGTTTGTGCTTTCTTTCAACCACCCCATTCTATTGGGGTGTATAAGCACATGATTTTTTATGAACAATTTCTAGTTCTTGAAGTAAAGATTGGCAGTGATGACTCAGAAATTCAGTACCATTGTCTGATCTCATTTTTTGTACCGATTTAGAGTATTGAGTTTTAACCAATGAAAAGAAATACTGTAATATGGCTGTTTGGGATTTAAAATGCATAAGGAATGTCCATGTAGTTCTACTGAAATCATCTACAATGATAAGAAAATATTGAGCACCATTCAAGGTTTTTTGATGGTATGGTCCCTAAATATCCACATGGATAACTCAAATATAGAAGAAGTTTGAATACAACTCACTGGAAATTGTAATCTATGCTGTTTGAAAGTGGACATACATCAGAACGTCGACTTTCTTTATTACAATTTTGAAAGAAACCTAATTGTTTTATTACTGAAATCTAAAGGGTGTCCTAATCTCATGTGCCAGATGTCACTGAGATTCCTTGAGGCAAAGCTGAAATGAACCATTTCTTGATGTTGAAGCTGGAAAACGAAAGGATGATTGACATGAGTGAAGATGAACTGAGTGATGGTTTCTTTTGTAAAAGAGTTTTGGTCTAGAATGTACAACCGATTGATGAGCTTCCCAATTGCCACAAGTTGGTTAGTCATCCGGTCTTACAACCAACAGAAATTGAAAGAGAAATAGCAATTAATGCTAGATGAAATAACTAGTTTATTGATTGAAAGGAGGTTATAATTAAAGGTTGGAATGTGTAGGCACTTAGGAAGTTTCAGGTTATCAGAGATGTCTACGGAACCTTTGTGTTGCACATTCTTAATGCTCCCATCTGGAAGACACACTGGCATGAAAGTAGAAACAAGTTTGCAATGTTGGAATAAGACAAGTTTAGAAGTCATATGGCTGGTTGCTCCACTATCCAACATCCAAAGGCTAGTTTATTGAATAAACTCATACCTGCTAAGTCTGAGAAATGTGCAAAGTTGATGTGTTCTCGATCAGCATTGACCATGTTCCCTTTCATCAACCTTGAAACCTCCTATTAAAGAACTTGTAGATTGTTGAGTACTGACTGGAGCTCACCATTACTGCAACTGGCCTCTACATCCAAGGGTGTATCCATAAAGTTTGCTCCATTTCTGGTATTTGGAAACTGTTTGCCATCTCTTATTCCTCCTTTATTTCCTGGCCACCAATCCGGATAACCTATTAGTGTAAAGCAAATCTCTCTGGAATGTCCATTCACCTTGCAGTGGCCACAATAGAGCAATTTCTTGGCTGCCTTATCCATCATGTAGTTATTGCCTTTTTCCAAAGTTCTGAGTATTATTGTAACCTCCTTGTGCTGTCTGTCCATAACCTCCACCTCCTGTATTATACTAATTGGCAGCATGTCCTGTTCCTGAATTCTGTTGTCCACTAAGAACATTAGAATTTCCTTTACCAAACACTAGACCAGTATTCTGCTGTCCTGTGTAACCAGTCGTTTTCCCAGCACCATATGAATTACATATGTTCCTTTCCTTTGTGCAATCATTGTACTATTTTCTGTGATGTCACCATAAGTCGAATTCACCTGCTGTTGCTTTTCAATATTCACAATCATTCCATATGCCTTTCTTACATCAGGGCGAGGCTCCATGATCAATATATGATTCCTTACATCTGTATAAGAATCGTGCAATCCTGTTAAAAATTAAATCAGTTTCCCACTTGATTCCTTAGTTCCTTTTTGTTCATTCACATTGCACGTGCATCCTCCACAAGTACAGCCACCACAGTGGCATTTATCCGGTGGTTCTAAGTGATTCAACTCATCCCAAAGTCTTTTCAACTTCGCATGATAAACAACTAAAGTCTGATTTCTTTGCTTAATGGTACAGATTTCTCTTCGAAGCTTGTATATGGCTGGACCATTCCCTGTGCCATAGCCTTCTCTTAATTCCTCCCAGAGTTCTTGAGCAGTATGTGCCAGATTGTAATTATCAACTATTGACGGAGACAGAGAATTCAGAATCCATGCCACCACAAGGTCGTTCACCCGATTCCACTGCTCAAAATCTGGTGATCATGGATGAGGTTTCGGGACAGCTTCGGCAACAAAACCGAGTTTGTTCTACGTCCCTAGAGTACGTTTAGCAGCATAACTCGAGGAGTTGTAGTTATCATCATTAAGCTGTGTCGTACATTTAACGATAGTGTACTCCTCTCTCATCTCATCTCCTAAGGAGCCGAATACATAACCAATCAGGTAGAAGGAGGAAGACCGGTACCAAATGTTTTCTATTTAAT